CAACCACCTCTACATCATCAACATGCGGGAAATGCCCGGTCTCCTCCACCACATCCGCTTCCACCCACCGTCCATCGACCGTCCGTCTGCATCAGACCATGTAGAGAATCCCCATGCGGATCGACACAGGGGACATTTTCCCTGCTGTGGAGTTCTTCGAGCCTCAGCTAGCCTGGTGTTGATGCACTCAGGGTGGAATTTCGCCTTGCATGCCGTGGACATGAATTCAAGCGATGGCAATTCGCATCCAGTGCTTGATAGCAAATGGCACTCTCCGGATTTTCCGAGGCGTGGTAGACGCCAATGCAACCAGCGTGAAGCCGTGTATTGCATGGCCGAGAACACTCGATGCTGCAGTCCGTGTCGATCTCCCCACAGATAATGCACCTCTCGTGTAAGGAGACTGTGCTATACTGCGGACAAGGAAATGGTTCGTGCTACCTGGACCCCGAAAGTGGCTGATGCGACACGAGCATAACTTATATGAAGCGACAGGCGTTCGAACGAAGCAGATCAGCAGCATGGAGTATGGCATGCCATTGATGACGAATCAGGAAGCCGAATTGGGAGCAAACCCGTCAAGCGATTTCCTCCTTCTGAGATGGGCGTGGAACAGGACAGTGTCTAGACAAAGAAACGGCAGTGCTCAAGGCGGATCATCGACGGCAACAAGGAGATGCTGTAGTAGAGACAAACTCCTCGAGTTCTTCGGGTATGCTTGCAATAAGCGAAATGTATCGGTTCCAACCAAGACCAACGGCCCGAGTTCTAGGGCTGACCCTTTCTATATATATACGATATACTTCAACTCGCATTCATGGCGCCATCGGGTTCGTTCACTTACCACCCTTGTCTACTTGGTTTCAGTCGCATCGACCACAGAATCATGGAGGCTCTGCTTGACCACGCATCCGCCAGGGAGCTCGAAGAGAAGTATGATGCACACACTTTGGATTTGCAGGCTTTCCAGACGATCACCAAACGCGCCCTCCGCCGATTTACGCACTATGCCATCGACGTCAAACTGTGTTGGGAGAGTCTGCAGCAGGTCCAGCTCGGCCGACATGGATCGGACCGGTCACGAACCGAAATGCTGGAGCTCGTGCGGCGTACTCACAGCCACGATCTCGAAGCCGTCTACGTGTCGGAGCCCGAATGGGACATGATTTTCCATCGGCTGGAACGCGAGTTTTGCTATCTCATCCATGACTTCTTGCGCACTCACCGCGATGAGTACAAGGACAACGCATTGCTGGCCCGTTTCCTGGCGGTCTTCCCCATCGGGGGCACCGCCCTGCCCGCCGACGAGGCGGTCTTGAGGGCTGTGCGAGCCATCCGAGAGGATGCGCGAGCCACCTACTACCCGCTGGGCGATTCGCACCATCCGGGGTTCCTTCTGTGTGTCGTGATCGATTTCGGCCAGCTCATTCTCCTGTTCCGGTGTTTGATCGCGGACCCCTTCGCGGGGTTGATCAGGGTTCTGGGCGATCCCTTTGAGTGGCCCGCGCTGCAGGACTGCTGGCCGTGGACCAGTAGAGTCCGTGCAACCAACAGAGACCCCTTCAGTGAGATGTGGATGCCGGAGAATCTGGATCCGGCGGTCCAAACAAACCGCAGAGAGATGGAACCCGGTGAGGCATGCAGCATCTGCCGTGTCGAGTTCCAGGAGGAGGATCAAGCCGCTTCGGGTATTGCCTGGTGCTCGCAGTGCGGGAATAACCTCCACAGCGCCTGTCTGTATCGCTGGTTGGGCGGCGCGGGCTCGTGTCCGTTGTGCATAAGGTTCTGGAGGTCGGGCAGGGAGGAGTAGTAGTCGCCCAGCCCTCCACTTCGTCTGGCCTGGCTAACATTTCTTGTTCGCACATTCCTTTTGAGATAGGGATTTTATGAATACTATTGATCAACATCTGTCTTTTGTCTTGTCTTCACATTGTAGTAGTAGCAGCAGCAGCAGCAGACCAATCATCTCCTTCTCCGTAGCATGGTAGCGCTATGATGAACCATTTCTCCAGACCAGGAGAAACGTGTATTGACAGTTCCTTGACTATATCAGAGGCTTCCGGCCATACACAACCTTACTGCACAACAGATCAGCTACCGTAGTCCATCAAACCCGTACCGGAAGCATCCCCTTCCTCCAACTTACATCTTAGTATACGAGTGCTGCGAGCGATCCTTCAGCTGCTGCCGCACCAGACTCTGCATAATCCGCGTGCGGTCCTGACTCCAGCCCAGCACCTGCGTACACAGCCGCAACCCGTACGCCTCCACAGCCTTCTCCACCATCGCCGCCTGCACCCGCCCGATCTCGCGCAGCCGGGGATCCTGTGGCCACGGCGAAAAGGGCAGGATGTAGGTCTGCTCGTGCACGTCCTCAAAGCCGTGCGCCAGCAGCCAGGGCTTCAGGTCGATGTAGATGTTCAGCTCCCGCCCGATCATGTGCCCTGCGTCGTTCAGCGCCATCAGGTATTCCATCAGCGGGGAGTCCATTGTGAGGGTCCCGTCGTCGCTCCACGCCCACACGGCGCTTTCTTGGAGTTCCAGATACCCGCCGGGTTTAAGGTGGTCGTAGGCCTGGCGGATGAGGCGGTGCCAGTCCATGACGCATCTAGCTGGGTTAATTGTGTGGGCGCTGGGATGTGAGTAGGGGTGGGGAAGATGGAGAGGGGGGCGGGGGTAAGGATCGTACCCGGCCAGGTTGCGCGAGTGGATGAAGTCGTAGGCGTTCAATTTCTCGAGCCAGTCGGCTTCGTAGTCGTCGACGAAAAAGTCGACGTTGGGAGGCACCCACGAGGGCTGGATGGGACTGAGGTCGTTGCCAACCACCATGGCGCCTGGATGGGAACTGCATGCACCAGTATTTTAGTCGTATGGGGGCGAGAGGTGGAAAGAGTCATACTCAGCAAAGTCGATGGCCCAGTTGCCGGTCCCAGTGCCGAGGTCGAGCACCTTTTGAGGATTCTTGATGGGCGCGTTGTATAGCTCGCCCCCCATCAGCATCAGGTAGCTGGCGCCGGGTGTGTGAGGGCTCATGGGTTATGCGTTAAGAAAATTGCCAGCGCGGAGAGCTCACATATGATGGGTCTGCAACCCGTTAGTGTATGGCAAGAACTATCACGATCAACAAGAGATTGAATTTTTCCTACCAAGTCCAGTCTTTCTTGTTCCTCTTCATCATTGGGCATCCTGGTCCAGATTATTAGCTGCTGTTGGAGAGAGAAGGGGGATAAGTTGGGTGTACATGTAGTGTCCCTACGGTCGCATGATGGGTTAATCAGAAAGAAAGAATCCAATGGAGGCCGACCATATTACCAAGGCCAACCTACCGAGCGGAAGCTTGCATATCGGCGGCCATTCTCATATTGGTAGTCGAGGATACTGGAGGAGAGGGAGTAGGTTTCCATGAAATCCTCATCGTAATCACTCCGACTGCGCAGCGACTGTGTGGGGGGGAGGGGGAATCAATCAAAAATCAGCCCCAAATCAACCCCCGGGGATTCACTCCGGGACGGCCCGCGCAAAGCTGGAACCATACCTCAGTGTCGGTTACAAAGTCTTCTGGTTCTTCTCCATCCTCGTCTTCCAGAGGGGCGATTGGAGGATTCAGAGGCGACGAGGGCGCTGCGTGGGGCCCGCCAGTCTCAGCGTAGCCATAGTCGTTGTGCCCTGTCGAATGAGGCCCAGGATGTTCAGTGGTGGTCATCGTGCTGTGCAGTGATTTGAGTGTGTGCAGGTGGAAAAAGAACAGGGCACCATGAGCACACCCTCCTTTACAAATAGGCGGGGAAAACTTGGGGATATTTAAAGGAAGATTTAAAGGATCATACCAGTCCATTCAATCCAGCAGCAAGATGAGCCTATAAAATACAAGGCTGGGCGGGGATCGAATCAATCGCTTAGCCTTAGGCGTCGGTCGGCCATCAGTTGCAGATCCATGCAGGAAGGGATGGAATGTGTCCAGTCGTGCCACCAAAAGGTTTCTCTCATCCTGTGAGCTGTCATTTCCACTAAAATCCTCTTAATCTCGGGGCACAGGAAATACTGCGATCCAAAGTGGGGTTTATGGGGAACGTGCGTGAGGGCTCCACGCTTAGTGTTTCCGCGGTGAGTTTTAGCGGTGCGCTTAACGCGTACGACGCTGAGGTAGGTATTTATGTATGTACATTCGCCCGGCAATCCCAGTGCGTTTGAGTAACGCAACCTCCCCTCACATTCTCAGGTACTTGTGATCCGCTTAGTGACGCTTGGGACGCGCCAGATGACGACGCAGAGAATCCCGGCGCGTCGAGGCGGCAGAAATGGTGAGGGTCTCGGAAATTCCCGCGGTGCAGACTGTACCCGCCGCCACACTTTGGGAGGCATCCCATTCGCCATTCACGCAGCGCTGGAAAGCCGTGCCTCCATTGCAGTACCAGTAGTCTTCCTGGCTGCAGGCGCCACTCAAAACACCAGAACTGGGGGACGACTCCGAGCTGGCCGCCGGGGTAGCCACCACAGTCGTAGTCGTGGTTGCGGGCGCGGAGTTTCCGTCCAGCGGATCCGCATCGCCTTGATTCAGCTGGGAGGTGTCGTCGCTGGCAGGGGTCGGCGCGGAGGATTCAGAGGTAGTCACACGAGTCTGAGTCGAAGCTTCCAACTCTGCAGCTGTGCTAGTGACGGCGGCAGCGGTGGTGGCCACCGCAGTCGTGGCCGCCGAAGTGGTGGTGGCAGCGGCGGTCGTCGCGGACGTCGCGGTCGCAGCACTGCCAGCAGTGTAAAGCGAAGGGCCTGGAATAGTGTAGGTGCTCAGCGTGTTCCAGATGTCCACGTAGATGCCCGGATCTGTCTCCTTGTACAGAGCCTCGCCCAGAGTGCCACTTGGGGTCGCTGTTTCGCTGCCAGTGACCTCCAGATTGATACACTGGGGGTAGTTCTGGGCCCCATTCAAGTTCTCCGCGCTGTGAAGTGCAATGATCTCGTGTCGCAAAACATAGTAGCCAGGGGCAATATCGCTGGGGATGGTGATGTTGCGACTGTAGCCGTCCTCAATTAGCTCATCGGTCGCCCACGTTCCTGGCACATCCGTGTCATCAATCAGGCCACCGGCATCAATCTTAAAGAATTCCAGAGTAGCCTTGTCCACATCAGCACAGGAGCCGTGGCAGTTGGCCAGATAAGTGATTACGGGCCCGTGATGGTCGGTAGGCCAAGTGTTCCAGGTCATCTGCACCCAACCGCCAGGGGCGACCGGGGCCGACAACGCGCCAGGCGAGGACCCCTTGTGGCAGATGATGTTGACGCTCTCGTAGTCCGAGGGCGAGACGTAGCCATCATCGGTGGCATTGGTGGACCAGGCAATCAACTCGGGCGGGTCAGATTCGAAGTAGTAGGTGTCGACCAAGTAACCCCCATAGGTGGTGCCGTCCACCTCAATGCTTGCGACGTAACCATGACCAGCTACCAGCGAGACCGAGCTCAGCAGCAAAGTGGCGATTTTGGAAAGAGACATGATGAAAAAATTGACCGCACAGCGGTGTCTGGATGAGAACGTGAAGAGAAGGGAAAGGACTTCAATCAATGAAGCCCAGAACGAATGAAAGAAGTGACGTGGAAGTAGGAATAACTGAAGCTTGGAGGATGCCCGAAACCCGCGGGATTTCTGGTCCTATTTAAACAGGCGAATCCCATGAGGCCGGGCTTGCGGTGGCGGAGTCGGATAGGACTCTAGCATCTTCAAGCGAGATCATCTTGTGCCTGGTAAAAGTCAATATTGTCTCTCAATGTCTACTTCAAGCTTCGAGGATGACTAGTCTGTTTCACCATCTGGTAGGCAGGCCAAGCTCGATCATTGTTTCAGCTTCGTGTGGAGACCGCGGAAACACGCCATAGTTAAGCGAGATTGTAAGTGGGCCGTTAGTTACGGTTGATGCTGTCTCTCGCGTTGTGAGTGGCAAGCATTGCGAGGCCCTGAGAGTCACGGATGGACCGACAATGATGCAGGTGTAGATATATGGACTGTGCGTCGATGACGAGGAAGAAGGAGAGGAAGGTTGAAGCTGGTAGTAAACGCACAAGCGAAGGGCCGTTATCACGTGATTGTTCTGCTGTCAGAACAGCGTCCCCACGTCACGTGCCTTTCCAGCATTTGGCTTGGTTTTCTTCGCGCCAGAAGTCATGTGAGCTGCTCCGGCTCAATCTTTCCCCGCACACCATCGTTCGCCTGCATCCATCAAGCATCCATCAAGCATCCATCAAGCATCCATCAAGCATCCATCAAGCATCCATCAAAGCATCCATCAAGCATCAAGCATTGACGCTTCCCTCACTTTAAGTGCAGGAATCAAGACTTGTACCTCCTCAATGGCTCCACGGTCCAATAGGATCATTGGCCGTACCATCTCGGATTCATACCGTTATCAATCGACCCCGTTCCGAGGCAACCTTGGCCGATACGAAGATAATGCTGATAAGCGCCACTGTCTCCGCTAAAATGCAGTCATTCTCAATCGGAAACCGATAAGACGTCCATCTCAACCTGCTATATGAACCCCGGGCTCAAGGGCTCCTTCACAGGTCATAGGAGGTAAAGTAATCTGTACCTCACGACGTGCTGCGATGGAGCAACTACCGCCTGGTCAGAAGTCAAGTTCGTCCGTATCAATCAAGAGTGAAAAGGTGGTTATAGAGCCGCGACAAGACCAACAGGATGTGGAAGTCGGTATGGTGGCAGCCCTGCCTCATGAGGGATCAGGGCTCAAACGCAACTTCAACATGATCAGCATCATGGCCCTCGGGTTCAATACTTCGAACAGCTGGATTGCCATCGCAGGCAGCCTGCCCCTAGCTATTGCCGGAGGGGGCACCGTGACCTTACTCTACGGTATCTTGGTGGTCTGCTTTGCCATGTCCTGCACTGGACTCAGCCTGGCCGAGCTGGCTGCAGTGTATCCGTCCGCGGGTGGCCAGTATTACTTCACCGCAATGCTGGCTCCGGCACAACACCATCGATGGCTCTCCTATTTGTGTGGAATGGTTGGGATTTGGTCATGGGTCGCCATCGCGGCGTCGCTGTCGTTGATGATTACCGAGGGTATTATGGCTTTGGTTCTGACCTATCACCCGACATTTGTGGCGCAGTCCTGGCACTACTTTCTCCTGTATCAAGCTGTGCACATCATGGCCATGGCATATAACGTTGGTCTACTATCCAAGACAGTCTGGGTCTATGATTGGGCCTGTACGTACTAGGGTACCGTGAATGATCGAAGAAGAACCTTTGCTGATGAGCACAGTCTACGCTTCCCTCGCCTTATTCGTGATCACCACAATCGTCTGCCCTGCACGATCGACGGATCATGCGGACTCCTCCACCGTCTGGAGTCATTTTGTCAACTCCTCCAGTGGTTACTGGTCAGATGGGATCGTTTTTTTGACCGGTCTCTCGACACCGTCGTATATGCTCATTGGTCTGGATGCCACAATGCATATGGCAGACGAATGTCTCACTCCCGCAAGGACGATTCCGCGTGCCATTCTGTCGACCGTAAGCATCGGCTCTGTGGCTGCCTTTGCGTTTGCCTTGGCTATGTGCTACAGCGTGACCGACTTCGACCGCCTGATCGATTCTGCCTCGGGGTAAGAGCAAAGCCTGTTGATGGCGGGTTGGGATGCTGACCTGAAGGACCGATAGTTTCCCAATTTACGATCTTTGGGCACAGGCAAGCCGCTCGACAGCATGTGCGACTGTCTTCCTCGTCGTGACGATTGCGATCATGTTCGTCTCTGCTTGTGCGATCCATTCGACTGCCTCTCGGTTAACCTGGTCCTTTGCGTGTTACAACGGACTCTTTCTTTCTGGGTACCTGAAGCAAGCGAGCCAACGAGAGGGGGTCCCTGTATACGCCCTCGGTCTGAATTTTGTTGCGTGCTTTGTGATCGGCTTTCTCTATCTAGCCTCCTCCTCGGGTCAGTTGCCTTCAGAGACCTCACCATAGGTTGTACTCACCGACGGAGAACTAACTCCGACATTCTAGTCTTTAATGCATTTGTCGGAACTGCCAGTATCTTGTCGCAAATCTCCGTCACCCTTCCCATCGCATTGCTTATCTGGCAGCGCCGGTCTGCGGCATACCTCCCTCCGGGCCGCCACTTTGGTCTCTCATTAGGCCTGGGATACTTCTGCAACATCGTCGCCGTCATTTACACTATGATTGTGACGATCTTTCTCTGTTTTCCGACGTCCTTCCCGCTTACGGGTGGTAATATGAGTATGACTCCCCTCAATCGACTCGAGGAGATCAGTCACTAACTCGGTTGCACCTATAGACTATACCGCTCCGGTTCTCGGGGTCATCGCCATCCTAACCGGACTTAATTGGGCGTTCTACGCACGTGGCCGCTACGAAGGCGCGCATGTCGGATAGCGCTTGTAGACGAATATGTCTCTCGTACTAATTAATGATATGACGTGAATAATCGAGCTATCTCAAAAGTGTTTCCGTAGGATTTTGTGATGTGGATTGGGCGAGGGGCTAATGATCCCCACGGGGTGGTGTTGCATCGGAATGTCCTTCGGAACTGTTCCTATCGATCACCGTTCTAAATGAAGGAGATAAGACTGGAGGCTTAAGCAGACGGGACGTAATATATGTGCCTAGGAGGGATCGAATAGATCCAGATCCATATGAATGCCCGTGCATAAAACATATCACGTCAGCAGCTGTCTGTTGAATAATTAAAAGGGGCAATTCATTCGAGGGTGGGTATCAATGCAGGCAGGGGGTCTGATCTGATAAGGGCTCGTCGGATGCATCCGGGCCCCGCACACAACGGCCGCCGAATTATCCCCGTTCTCGGATCCGACAGCCCTGCTGATGCCCGACTTTAAGCAAAGATAGGGGGGCAAACCGGGGTTATAATCGAAGAGATTTGCTGCTGAGAAGGGCTCGCGTGATCTCCTCTTATTCTGTCCTGCTTTTTCCTTTTCTTCTTCTTCTTTTTCTTTCTTCTCCAGCAGAGCGTTCTACTATTAACACCCATCTCCCCTCAACACCACACCCGCCTCTTTTCATCCATTCGAAAATCAAAATCCCTCGCTCGTTAATTTAAGACCGGATTGAAAGGACAATTGCACACTCTTTTCCAACTATCCTCTGTTTCAGCATCGTAAAGGTACTACATCTCCCGTTCGATCAACCCTGAACCGCACTAAACCATCCCACAGACACCATGCTCATCACCCGCGGCTTCTCCTTAACAAACTTCGTCATCGCCAGCTCGGCCCTCTGCTTCCAAGTCTGCGTCCTCTACCCCTGGCACGAAAAGCTCGAAGACGACTTCAAGGAACTCAAGAAAGAACACCTCCGTCTGCTCCAAGAGAATGAGGAGAATCGCGTGAGAGAGCTGCAGAGCATCAAGGACCACCTGGGACTCCTCCACCAGAAGGTCCAGTAACCTTGAGGCCTGAGGACTGGTGCGAACACCAGACACTACTACATGCATGCATGCGTGCGTGCTCTGTCCCGGCTTAGAATATAGATTACAGGTATAGATGGCTGGGAGATGTACATATTTCGGGCGCGAATCAACGTCTTGTTTACATTACAGAACTTCCCCAGCCGTGATTATCTTCGTTTCTGTCTCGTGAATGCTGATTTATGCGATGTCTAAGCCTCTATGCTGAGACCCACACGAGGAATGAAAGCACTATGTAAGTCCCGGACCAGAGAAAAGAGGCTTGACTTTGACAATCTGGTGGTATAACAAACGTTCAAGATCGGTCACGAAGGGATTCTGTGTCTAAACAAACACTCCAGGGCTCTGATGAGTCCCATTGGAAGTCCCATCCAAACTCCCCTGGGCAGCCACGTAGGCAGCCCCGGTCGCAATCTCGTTGGTGGCCAGCTTGAGAGCCCCCAGAGCCCCTGGGCGCAGCAGCCCTCGCGCATTCCTGTCCGCCCGCACAAAGGCCTGGTAGTTGGGAAAGAGACCCTGGGGGTCGTACTTGTCTCGAATCTGCAGAAATTTCTGCAACGCCGTATCGGTAATCACTCGGGTCTAGGACCTCGTTAGCTGGGATCATGAATACTTGACCAGGGATTTTTACTCACATTTACCTCCTCCCAGGTGGGATCCAGGTCGAACACAAACATACCCCCCGCGACAGACAGTGCACGTTCATACCGCTCCCGAATGTGTTGGCGCAGCTCGGCCTCCCGCTGGGGGTCTGTCCAGATGGTTGCAGTCATGAGGTACAGATCCAGGGGCAAGCTTAGCACCGTCTGGCTCTCATCGGGGCGTTGGTCGCAGTGGTAGATGTACACGTTGGATAGACGGGTCGGGAGCTCCAGCAGGGCCGGCTTCATGGCTGCCAACAACTGTCTTAGGGTTAGTGCATGCTTGCGTCGGACCGTGCACAGAACGAAGATATACGGAGCGCGCGCAAGAGACTTTAACTCACCTGAGACAGTGAACACCCCGGATCGCTCAGAATACTGTTGTTGTGGACGCGTGCGCCCGGCCCGGGCCCAGCTTCTGCCGCGGCCAGGATTTCCTCGAAGGTGCACTGGTGCGCCGGCTGTTTGTCCAACATGCAATCTGCGACCTCGTCCGTCTGGTCATAGGCGCTCAACAGGGAATGGGCCTCGTCCTCCGAATTGGCGTAGCAGTACAGCAGCAGCGTGAGGTGCAATTTGGCCCCTGCCGGGACGTCATCCCCGGTCGCATCGGGGTCGTCCTGTGCGTAGGCGATGGCCAGGTTCAAATCCGTCGCCTCCTTGGGCGTCGCCCGTCCGCATTCAATGGCCCAGGTCATCAGCTTCTCGTAGTTGGCGCTGTTGATCTCGAAGAGCAGCGTCCGTTGCCAGGGGGTCTTCGCGGGGATGGTGCGGCCCCAAAACCGCGTCACGACCCCGAAGAAGCCCAGCCCGCTGCCGCGCGCGGCCCAGAAAAGGTCGGAGTAGTGGTCGCTATCGGCCAGAACGAGATCGCCGTTGGGTAAGGCAATTTCCATCCGGGTGACGAACGTGACGGCGGCCCCGTAGCCGCGCATGAAGAACCCTTGTCCTCCGGCAAGGAGATAGCCGGCCATAGCCACGGTCGGGGCATGACCAAAGGGGAAGAAACGGCCGACTTCACTCAGCTTCTGCGATACCTCGCCAATGCGACAGGACGGGCCGAAGGTGATTTGTTGGGTGTCTTCGTCGTAGTCCACGCGTCGGTTGAGGTTGGTGGTGTCGATCATGATGCCGTCTTGCACCAGGTAGGGGGATTGCGCTGCATGACCGGAGGACCGTACGCTCACGGTGGTCCCCAGCTCGGCTGCTCGTTTCAAGGCGTTCTGGACATCGGCGACACTCTCCACGAGGTGGATTTCACGGGGATACCGAGGGGCCGCCGCTGACGGATTCATCACGCGGCATCGTTCGTACTCGGAGTCTCCGCGGAGGAGGACCTTCGAGGAATATTCGGGATGGGTGATGTATTCAGGTGGTGCCATCTTGATTGAGCTCGATGAGATTTGATTTGATTGATTTGACTGCACTTGTTTGCGGGAATCAGTCGAGGACCAGTCCTATTATCATCTATATAGGCACTCTTCCCCGTCGGTGGTGACTCTTGACGTCACTGTCTGTACGTGGCTTGATGGAGGTGAGTGAAAGCTTATCCCACAGCAGTGTCTCTACAAGGCACCATCCACTGGTCGGGAACTGTACCCATGGTTGGCAGCTGGTGGCATGTGGTGCAGCATGCAAGGGTGAAGCCAGTGCTGAAGAGACTCTGGGATGACCAGGGAAAGGGAGCATTCAACCGGGAGGATCAGCCTCCAACACAGGCTTCAACCTGCCTTTTTTAACCATTTGGAATGTCTGAGACAATGCAGACGATATAATCGAGCAGGTGAATGACGATGGATGATGGATTGCACTGTATTGTGTTGCAGTGCACGACCATCGCGTGACGGGGATGGTGGCAATTCGAGCCAAAGTCCCAGCGCATCACCCTGCTTTTGGTTCCAGAGAGAGTGTTTCGATTTGTATGCTCGACCCCAGCCTTCCTTGAACATACGACAGTGCAGCAATCATGGATATACTGTCTCTTGGTATGACTTCATGCTTGGAGCGTCCTCCAAGGCAGGGGAATTAGGCAGAGGGGTTGATGGTTCAACACAAGATGATTGTTGTGAGTATGCATCCAGACAAAAAAAGGAATCGTTCTACGTTACGCAGATGCTACAGTAACTGATCATTTTAGGGCTTGCAACCCGGAGCGAGGGCCGATGTCGGGAATGAATTGTCTTCCCTGATGCCAATCTTGTTTATTTTTATTTTTATTTTTATTTTTATAATTTTTTTTTCTTTTCTGCACTCGCTGGGCTCCACTTGGCAAGAGGGGAAAACGGCACGGTATCAGTAGCCGAAGTTTCCCTCGGGCTTCTCCCATGGATAATGACTCGACGGAGGACATATCACAATTTCCGTTAGCATCCTTGGGACGGGTCATACCAGTATCTAGAGCAAGTGAGGTCTCTTTCCAGGTGCCCAGAACAATCCCCGCAACCAAGGCTTGATTCCCGGCTGGATGAAACAATCCTTGTCAAGTGTCAACCTTACTCTGATGACATCTGCCAGAGACTGGGCCCCCTCGATGAAACGGAAATATGGCCAGCGATCTCAATCGCCAACATCTGGCTGTTGCTGGTGGTCGGTCCTTTACGATCGGACAGGCCCACGGCCAGCTTACCATGAGTTTCATGACCTACCCCGTATTGACACTAGTTATTCGAAGCATGGAAGCGTCTCTCACATGGCCGTTCCAAGTCTCTGGCATCACAATCGATAATGTCATGCAAGGGGCGGGAGTCTGGACCTGGTGGTTCTCATTCTGTTTGTTGTCTTCAGCGAACTGCCACATGGCCGACCCGATCGGCTTTAGGGGCTCGTGAAGCCGCGAACGGACAGGTTAACAAGTAATCCATTGAGGGCCCGAGCGAGGTGACTCGTATTCCATGCGACATATGCGATTGATGCGATAGATATCAGAACTCAATATTGATAAGTTAACCCTTTATCTTCTTTCTTTCTTTCTCTCTCTCTTTCTCTCATTCTCTCATTTTTGCTGGTCACTCGAATAATCGCTTAAAATGATGAATGAGGAGGGTCGGCAATGTTCGACGATTGCGGCAACATCGCCAATGGCGGACCTCCACTGTGGGGGGAAATTCGCCAACCCCAGTTGGTTTTGTCCTTTTTATTCTCCTGGAATGAATGAAGAAAAAAAAAAAGGGGGGGGGGGGGGGAAGAGAGGAACTGGTACTTTTTAAGTTTTATGCTTTGGGGTGGATATACGAGCTGGAATGCACAAGTCAACTGGGGAGTCCATACACAATGAGGACTGACAAGCAGTTCGGCAAAATGGGCGCTCGATCCACCGCAGCCTCACCTTTGCAGCACTCCTAAGCCATAATGACTCTAGTCACCGCCGATCGAACCATGGGTCAAACACTTTCTCGAAGCTTGAGCCTTAATTCTCCTGCTATAGACGGCTCGCGGACCTGGTCCGGTCCGGCTCCGGAGAATGGAGTCGGGAGGGGTGGAGATACTACTAGGAGAAAAAGGACTCTCATACAACGGTGGCTCATTAGGGCAACACCCGGCGTGTCGAGTCACTGGGGACTCGCTCCTCCGGCTGGGGCATCCGACCATATAATGGCCTCTACTCTGAAGGACTGGCAGAATGAGCCTCACAGAATGGAGACTGGAAGGAGCGGTAAGACTGGTTATGGGTAGAAAAAGGAGAGCAGATGGCGACTATTGAGTGGAGCCCCCGTATGCCACCAAGCCCGAGCCCAAGGCATCCTGCAGATCCACTCCTACACTACCGGGTGACAGATGTCATAACTAACCTACTTGTGTCCGTTTATTATTACCCTATTGCACTGATGCGCATCGAAACCACCAATTAACATTAGATGGCGGCCTGGCGAAGAAAAAGTGGATTGATGGATGAGGATCCTCTTACACATCACATCCCAGAGGCTCCGCTACACTACTACACCACCAAAAAAAGAAATGATGGAAGAGACTAAAGAGAAGGAAAATCTTCCATTCCGCGTGGCCCCGTCCATCGTAAATAGCAGATCGATCGCCCCCCTCTTCGATCTGTCGTCAAGCTGCTGTCGTGAGTCTATCTTTCTTTGCTTTTTCTCCGATTAGATTGTCTATCAGTGTCTGGTCCTCATAATTCCCACCTACTCCTCCGTACACCACCATGTTTCTGCAGGGAAAGTCCCGCAGTAGGCCTGCCCATGTTGATCGAAAGGCGCTTTACACCGATCTCGAGGCTCGGGTCCACTACTTGCAACAGTTCCTGGAGTTCAGCGCTGGTCAGCCTATTTTGTGCTTTGTGCTTTGTCGTTATCGGATGATGGCTAATAAGAAGCTCGAACAGACGATGTCGCCGCCCTGAACAAAGGATCCAAATACATAAAGGCGCTGGCGCCTACTTTGGTCGATAAAGTCTACTCGAAGCTCCTGGAGAATGATATCACCGCGCGCGTTTTCCGCACGCGCGATACCTCCGCGGATTTGGACGAGGAGGAGGAGACGGCCAGCTATCCCAGCTTTGACAGTCCCTACATCCAACGTCGTCGCATGTTCCTGCGGTGGTATATGACCAAGATCTGCACCGATCCCACCAAGCCGGAGTTCTATCAATATCTGAACCAAGTCGGGTGGGTGGATGCACGCCCCGAGCCCCTCTCTGCCGTGCAGTCTCCCGTGCTAACCATGTGCCAGACGCATGCACGTCGGTAAAGATCGCATGCTCGCCTTCCATGTGGAATACATTCACATTGGCGCGTGTCTCGGCTACATTCAGGATATCATTCTCGAGGCTGTGTTCGGTCACCCGCAGCTCACGCTGGCCTTCAAGATGGCCTTGGTCAAGGCGCTGAACAAGGTGATCTGGATCCAGAACGATCTCTTTGCTCGCTGGCAGGTCCGCGACGGCGAAGAGTTCAGGGACGAGCCGGAGACCACTGCCCACGAAACCGCCCACAAAACCGCCCACGAAACCGCCCACAAGGAGCCGCACGACGATGCGGCCTCGTATATCACTCGCTCGCCCACGCAGCTCTCCGAGGCCCCGAGCATCTTCTCGGACACGCGGTCAGTGGACTCGACCATCAGCCATGGCACGGCCACGATGAACGCCCCGAGTTCCTCGCATTCCGCTCATTCCGCCTGTCCGTTCTCGGGCGGGTTCAAGCAGTCCTTTGAAACCAAGGTCTGGTCGGGACCAGACGGGAAGAAGGGTCACTGACAGGGTTGTGTGACGGGACTGATGATTTCCTTTGGGTATGGGTATGGGTATACAGGTAAACGAGGGGTGTAAACAACACATGGGAATTTCTTCTGGGGTACGGTCGGGTTGTCAAATGGATTCTTGGAAAAGACTCTGGGGAGTACTTGACGGGTGGTCAATGGTGTTGGACTCGCTTGGTTGTTCGTTGCTGCTTGATTTGCTTGTGTTCGCTTTCTTTGATATCCCTGGTCTAGCAGATTGCATCATTTTCCTTTTCCATACCCTCTACATCTTGGCCTGTTCGTGAGTACGGATAGGGAGGCTCTTTCCGATCATTCATAGTGTTGTTGATTTTGAAGAGGTTGAATCTTTGCCCGTGGACCCAACATCTCTTCGAGTACGCATGTCCGCCTGGTGTGGCTGAATGGCACCAACAAGCGACCGGTCGACAATTGAGCGCAACGTGCCAGTCAAGGGACGGTTTCGTCGATCGGGTAGAGAACGCGAACGCGAGGCAATACTTCGGGTCAGGGAGGCTATATCATCTTTTGTTCCAAGCCGGAGACAATCTATCAATTAGCATGTTATGGTCGGTCAAGAGCGAAAGTGTTTAGTCGAAATCTCATGATCAATGATGAATAGGAGAAGAGGGCTAAACATCAATTCAGAGATGAAGACTAGGCCGTCCTGAGATAAGCTGTCTAAGTCCATGATACTAAGGGAGGAAGTGCAAGCATTGTTCCTGATTGTATGAATAGCTGTCCAAGTGATGTTGCGTAAAAAGAGAGAGAGAGAGAGAGAGAGAGGAAGATGGAGGGAAAGAGAGCGAACAATCCCCGACCGTGAGGGATCACGTGCGTTGTCTGTGCTGCCTTGAGGGCTTACGGCTGCATAAATTACTAAGCTTTACTTTATCCAACTACACAAAAAGTCACTAGTTCCAGCCACTTGTGAGTCCTTCCTTCACTGCCAACACAAAGAAGGACGAGGATGGTCGCAATGTGTAACCTCAATCGGTCTTTCTGTCGAGCTGCTGCCTGAAGGTTTCTTAGAGATGAAATTTGGCGGGGTGATAGAGCTCTGTCAATCCTCCATCCCTACAAATCAGAACAATCTCACTATGGCTGAATCCTTCAAACCCTCCTTCGAACGCAACAAGCTGCAGAATGACTTGAATAAGCCTGCCACCGGAGACAACACCGATAGACCCTATGGAACTGACCAGCTCATCCAGCAAGCGGAGGAAGGCGAGGACGATTTCCCTCTCCAATATGCCCCCCCCCCCCTTCATGTCTCAAGAACCGGACACAGTTTGCATTGATGGACACTGCTCTCAACGTAACAGGTGGTGTTTCGGAGGAGATCAGGAATCAGTTCGACGACTTGTTTGAGCAGACAGGCCTCATCTCTGAAGAGATCCTTGAACACCTGAAACAATACGAGTACACCGCAGAAGAATACGCAGAGCATGAACAAGAGGAGCGAGAGTTGGAAGAGCACAAAATGGTTATCATTTAATCATATGCGTTTCCTGCGAGTGCAGTTGGCCCAGAGCGCAACAGGTCAAATTTGAAAATGGTTTTGCTGAGATAGACATCATGCTAGAAAATCGTGCCAACGAAGGAGAGATATGATAGCATTGAATATGTTCTGCCTCAGCAAATGTGAATATACATGACATTCTTAGGTCGGACAACCCTTGCGCTGGAAGATACTCTCTCCATAGCATGGAAAGCACCGACACAGTCCAGGTTGCAGATCATGACACTCTTGATTACACGGGTGATTCTTATCAAGAATCAACATTCGGTGCTTGGAAGACATTTGCTAGTTTATGCAAGGTGTATAGCACTTCTGACTAAGCCTTTCTTTATGCATTCTCTCTGCTCCCTTTAAAGATCGACTCATCCTGCATGAAATCACGCAAGTGAACTACTCACCATTGCCCCGCACGCTTATATTAAACTCTCAGGGACTTCATCTGCAAGACCTGGCAGATGCCATTCTGACTCCGGCCCGGAGTATATTGGCCTCTCTCCCGCTTGGCTGACCACAGCCAAGGCGCTGTAATGCTTCTCTGAACCCCTTCGTGTGTAAATACAGCTTAGAAGACTGACTTAACCACCATGCAAGGTGAGAAAATCAAGAATGAGAGAGAAGATTCTCTTTGATATTGCAATCAATATGCCTGCTGCCGGCAGATGCACCTTACGATCTAGCGCTCCCATACTCAAGTCGAGAGCGTGCTGGCGTCAATGGCGCAATGGATGTGGTGATGATGTTGAAGGATATTAAGTGCCAACAACTGCACTAGCACTCTTCAGTTTGCCGAGCTCCTCAGGGCACGGGGCTTGTCCACCGGAGTCCGATGCATGTCGACATCTTCTACCGGGTCGTTGCGATCAAAAAGGGTCTCAATGGTGATGCTCGCCTCCTCAAGCCCATAGAGCGATAACCAGGATACAATGAGGTGAAATGATGCGATGAAGAAGGCATTGCAGCACAAGAAGACGGAGCATTCGTTCTGGGGAGCATAAATAGTTCCTGGATTACCCTTCCAGATGCCATTCTCCTCCACCATCATCATCAGCCAGCTCCAAAGCAGTTCCTCTCAGCTCCAAAGCAGACACCTTCAGCTTCAGTAATATTTTCCCAGACACTCACTTCGAGTTTCTCACCCACCATCGAAATGAAGTTCACCGCTGCTATCGCTGCTAGCATCCTCGCTGGTACTGTTACTGCGATCCCTGGCCGCGGAGTCGAAGCCCGCGTCAAGGCTCGCTCTGCCACTCGGGGCTCTCGTCCTCTGGAGGCCGTCAACCGCCCGGCCACCGTCAAGAACCAGACCAACGTGGAGTACAGCTCCAACTGGTCCGGTGCGGTGCTGGAGAGCCCTCCCTCGGCTTCTGCGACCTACACCGCGGTGACCGGGACCTTCACCGTCCCCGAGCCCACCGGCACCGGTAACGGCGCTGCCTCTGCCTGGGTGGGCATTGACGGCGACACCTACGGGAACGCCATCCTCCAGACCGGTATCGACTTCACGCTGGAGAACGGCCAGGCCTCCTATGACGCTTGGTATGAGTGGTACCCCGATTACGCCTACGACTTCAGTGGCAGTCTGGACATTTCAGCCGGCGATGAGATTGTGGCCATTGTCGAGTCCTACTCCTCCACCAGGGGTATCGCCACTATTGAGAACAAGAGTACCGGCAAGTCTGTGTCCAAGACACTGTCAGCCCCGGACTCCAGCGCCAAGCTGGGTGGGCAGAACGCGGAATGGATTGTTGAGGGTGAGTGGACTGGTGATGTGAGCATTGCTGATCTCTATACTAATGTTGCGCGTAGACTTCGAGGAGAATGGCTCTTTGGTCAACTTAGTCGACTTTGGCACTGTGACCTTCACCGGGGCGGTTGCCGAGGTTGCTGGCGGCGAGAGCGTTGGCCTCGACGAGGCCACCATCATCGAGATCGAGCAGTCCGGCAAGGTGGTGACTGATGTCACCATCAACAGCGACTCCTCTGTCACCATCACCTACGTCTAAGTCATCGAGTAACTTGGTGACACAAAGCACATGGGAGCAGGTGGTCCTGCTGGTGTGAGGACGATTTGTGGAGGCGATGGGCAGCGGGTTCTGCTGGCTTGGAGACGATTGGACTAAGAAAGGCATTGTGTGACACCTTGGATCTGGCCATGACGGCTTGGCTGTCGTGGGATGTATCCTTTTTGATAAGAATGAGACACAAAGAGCTTCCTAGAATTCGGTGCATGTAATCTCCATCTCTAGCAATCGGACGTTCATGGTATCCCTGCGGAGGGAAATCATATGACTGGAAGACAACTTCTCCGCAGGGCGTTAAAATGGTGTTATTTGATTTGTTCGGTTCTCTGTGTCACAGAGCTCTAAATTTGTTGCTATGATTGGTGGTAGCCGAGGTTCCTGCGACGGCAGTAGCCGTGACAGCCGGGGGATTTATAGCCAGTCAATGTCAACTCATCTATTGTGTCTTTTCTCTATGATCTATGTATTTTGATCATGCGTTAGGTTGAGTTACTCTACTAGCAGTAGTATACTATCCTTTTTATTCGCGTTGTGAGAGCTTCTCATTCAGTTCTGGCATAGCAAATGAGACCACTGCAGCTCCTCCTATAATTGATATATGTATAAGTATGTACATATATAAATATATATATCTGTATTAAGTATAAAAAATCTATAACTTCGAATCCTTATCTTGTATGTTTGAACCCAGCGAAATTGACTGATCTCAACAGTCCCAGCATGAATTGAGAATTTACTCCAGCCACCATCGTCATACCGAACATGTTCTGCTGCAATCAGACTCCATCTGGGGTAGAAAACCGTCTGTGCGTCAGGTACAGCCATCGCACGACCCGGTGAATCTCTGCTGTGCCAATCGATCCCTGTGGTGAAGAATGACGTGGGTGTCACTCTCCTGCCTTGACCGAAAGGCTCCTGAGGCTGGAACGCAGCCAGGATTGCAGCAGATGATGTTATTTTGGGAATGAAGGCATGATTACGTCGTGGAGCCAGGCGTCTGGAGGCGGTCAAACCAGGCAGATCGGGGGTTGGCGAGATGGAGATCGGCCGAATGCGGCTTAGCGGGAAGGTGTGCTGGGCGTGCGTCATCTTGACGGGTGCAGCCAATGCTGCACTTTATAGTCGGGCTCACTCCCCCCCCAGTTGCAACGACTATTCTTCCAGATACCTACAATTAACACTCAATCAATTGACTACCTCTACGATTCTATTCTTTACCTTTTATTCTCCTACGACAGCTCCCTACTCCAATTCTTACCACCACATCACAACCACACATCATGATGAACCGTACCCCCAGAGTTGCGACCCGCTGCCTCAGACAGCAACGCGCCGCCCAGCTCAAGAACCGTCGCGCCAACGCTCGCTTCCAGTCCACTACCTCTGGATCTAGCTCCAGCAGCAGCAGCAGCAGCAGCAATCCCGCCCTCGTGGGAGGTCTCGCCGGTGGTGCCGTCACCTTCGTGCTCGGATATGGCTGGTACCACTTCTCCGGCGCCCGCACCGTGGTCAAGACCGTCAAGCAAACCCAGAATTACGCCGAGCAGGTCAAGCAGGGCATCATCCAGAACACCCCCGAGCCCGACAAGGCCTTCGACTGGCTGCGGGATACCGTCAAGAGCTACGCCGGCTTCATCCCCGGGGCGCGCAAATACATCGACACTGCCTTTGACGACCTGGAGAAGGTCAAGCAGAAGCACGGTAGCGAGTTCGACTCGATTGTTCGCGAGGCGTACACGGAGGTCAAGGCCGTGACGAAAAAGGGCGGCGCCAACGCCGATACCGCCTTCGAGGCCCTGCGCGTGCTGCAAAAACACCTCAGTCGCTTGGCTGATCTGTCCGGAGATGCGGCCTCCGACATCCTCGATAACCACCCCTGGCTGCAGGAGAAGGTCGGTGGGAGCTGGGACCAGCTGAAGGAGATGGGCGAGGCGTACGGCCCGCAGGCGAAGGAGGAGGTCAATCAGACCTGGGAGCAGGTCACGGGAATCGCCAAGGAGGGCTTCAGCGTGCAGTCGGCGGAGAAGGTGCGCCAGCTAATCCAGGAGAAGAAGGACAAGCTGCAGAAGATGGGGGAGGAGATGTGGCAGAAGGGCTTGGAGGAGAGCAAGCAGTATCTCGACAAGAACCCCCAGCTGAAGGAGATGGTGGAGAACAACGCCGATGCGTTGAAGCAGGGCAACTTCGGCGACCTCTGGGGTCTGATCAAGGACTCGGCCTCGTCGGGCAAGACGGATCAGGTGGAGAAGTTCGTCAAGGAGAAGGTCGACCAGGCCAAGAACAACAGCTCGTTCGACCTGGACAAGTGGACCAAGATGATTCCGGGCGGCTCGGACATCCTGAACCAGCTGCAGTCGCTGCGCACCGTCGGAGAGAAGAAGGGCAAGGAGGCGGAGGGCGTCCTGAAGGAGACGGTGGAGGAGCTCCAGCAAGTGCTGCAGAAGAGAAAGGATCAGATTGAGAAGTTGGCGAGTGAGGCCAAGGAGGAGAGCAAGTAAAGGCGTTGCTTGATGGGCCTGATTCGGTGTATTTTAGAAATGTTGTGTAGTATATACCCAATCTTCAAGAGTTTTCATGATTAATTGGTCAGCATCAATTGGTAACTTAGTAATATGGCAAGTCCAGCCCGCAATAACCAGTAAGTCTAGTCGGAGGCTAGACTAAGAGAGAACCTGAGCTAGTCTGCGGGATGACTAAAAGGAATGGACTTTTCGGCTTACGTGGACGAGTTGCTGTAACTAGTGAATTACAGTAAGTTAACTACAGCAAGAATGCGGGGGTGATGATCCGCCAACCGAATGAAGCAAAAGTCATGATGTCGAGACCCAGTGATTATTCACTGTTTTGCATTCCCCCGCTTTTTCCTCCTCCTCCTCCTCCTCCTCCTCATTTCCTCCAACAGCTTCATCCCTCCACGTGTCTAGCCCCCCTCGGGTCAGTCAGCAAATGAACACCATCGATTACTCATTCCGTCTTGGCCAGCCTGTCTGTGCTACAGCGGATCCTCCTGTTATTATAAGTACACCCTGCGCGGGGTCGATGCTGCTTCCCCTCCCTTTCTACTTCCCATCCTCTCTCTCTCTTTCAACTTCACAATCACTTCTCCCTGAAGTTTTATGACTGTATACTTACACCGATTTGACGCAGTTCTCTCTTCTTGAACATCATTCCTTCCTATCTACATACAATACTCCCACGATGGGTGAGTCCAAGTGTCCCTTCAAGGCCCATGCCAATGTGGCAGGTGGGGGCACTCGTAACACCGACTGGTGGCCGGAACAGTTGAAGCTCAACATCCTTCGCCAACATTCCACCACTTCCAATCCCTTGAAGGAGGACTTTGACTATGCCGCCGCCTTCCAGCGCCTGGACTACTGGGCCCTCAAGAAAGATCTTCAGGCCCTGATGACCGACTCGCAGGACTGGTGGCCCGCCGACTTTGGTCACTATGGCGGCCTCTTTATCCGCATGGCCTGGCACAGTGCGGGCACCTATCGCGTCTTTGATGGTCGTGGTGGAGGGGGTCAGGGCCAGCAACGTTTCGCCCCGCTCAACAGCTGGCCGGACAATGTCAGTCTAGACAAGGCTCGTCGGCTCTTGTGGCCCATCAAGCAGAAGTATGGCGACAAGATCTCCTGGGCCGACTTGCTGCTGCTGACCGGAAACGTCGCCCTCGAGTCCATGGGCTTCAAGACCTTTGGCTTCTCCGGTGGTCGTCCAGACACCTTTGAGGCAGATGAGTCGGTTTACTGGGGTGGCGAGACCACCTGGTTGGGCAACGATGTCCGCTACTCCGATGGCAACCCTGGTGTGGCTGCCCCAGGGGTGGTGGACAGCGATCAAGCCCTGCATCGCGACATCCACAAGCGAGACTTGGAGAAGCCCTTGGCCTCGGCCCACATGGGTCTGATTTATGTCAACCCCGAAGGTCCGGATGGCAACCCTGATCCGGTGGCTGCTGCCCGTGATATCCGCACCACCTTCGGTCGCATGGGAATGAACGATGAAGAGACGGTAGCCCTCATTGCGGGCGGTCACAGCTTCGGTAAGACCCACGGTGCTGCGCCCTCCAGCAACGTGGAAGCCGAGCCGGAAGGAGCCGGCCTCGAATCCCAGGGTCTCGGCTGGAAGAACCGCCACCAGTCCGGCAAAGGACCCGACACCATCACGAGTGGTCTCGAGGTGATTTGGACCAAGACCCCGACCAAGTGGAGCAACAACTACCTGGAGTATCTGTTTCGGTACGAGTGGGAGCTCACCAAGAGTCCCGCGGGAGCCCATCAGTGGGTGGCCAAGGACTCCGAAGCCATCATCCCGGACGCTTATGATGCCTCCAAGCGCCACCGGCCTACGATGCTCACCACTGATCTCTCCCTTCGCTATGACCCCACCTACGAGAAGATCTCGCGGCGGTTCCTGGAGAACCCGGATCAGTTGGCGGATGCCTTCTCTCGCGCCTGGTTCAAGCTGCTCCACCGCGACATGGGTCCCCGCAGTCGGTACATTGGACCTGAGGCGCCCACCGAAGAGTTGATCTGGCAGGATCCCATCCCTGCCGTGGACCACCCTCTTGTGGATGCCAGTGATATTGCCTCGCTGAAGCGGACCATCCTGTCTAGTGGCCTGGACCGGGCCAAGCTGGTGTCGACGGCGTGGGCTTCAGCCTCGACCTTCCGGTCGAGCGACAAGCGCGGGGGCGCCAACGGCGCACGGATTCGTCTGCAGCCCCAGCGAGACTGGGAAATTAATCGCCAGCCGGGGATTCAGGAGACGCTGAGCACTCTCGAAAATATTCAGAAGCAGTTCAACAGCTCTGCTGCCTATGGCAAGAAGGTCTCCCTCGCCGATCTGATCGTGCTTGCTGGCAGTGCTGCCGTCGAACAGGCGGCTTACGATGCGGGCCATGCCATCCAGGTCCCCTTCATCCCCGGGCGGACGGATGCCTCGCAGGAACAGACCGACGTGCAGTCCTTCAGCCATTTAGAGCCGGTGGCCGATGGCTTCCGCAACTATGGTCGTTCGACCCCTCGTGTGCGCACGGAGCAGTTTCTCGTGGACAAAGCCCAACTGCTCAGCCTGTCTGCGCCGGAGTTGGCTGTCTTGGTCGGTGGTCTGCGCGTGCTGAACGCCAACTACGACGGATCGGCCCATGGGGTCTTCACGAACCGGCCCGGACAGTTGACAACTGACTTCTTCGTCAACTTGCTGGATATGAACACGGCCTGGCAGGCCACCGATGACAGCCGGGAACTGTACGAGGGCACTGATCGTCAGACCGGCAAGGTCAAGTGGACGGCCACGCGCGCGGATCTGGTATTTGGATCGCATGCGGAGTTGCGCGCTATTGCGGAGGTTTATGGCAGCGTCGATGGCCCGGCTCGATTTGTCAAGGACTTTGTGGCAGCTTGGGACAAGGTGATGAACCTGGACCGATTTGACCTCAAGAAGCAGACTCTTGTCTCGTCTCGTTTGTAGTTCTGCTTGAAAATCTCTCCACTCCTGTAATGACTTCACGTGCAATGAAATCCGTTTGTCGCATTATTCTGTGGCTCCCTGTAGTCGACTCGTAGTTCCATTGTAGCAGGTGGAGTCGCCTTTCGTGACAAGGATCTCGCGGGAAAAGGCAATGTCTGTCCTTGCCCTCGTTATCCTTCCCCCTTTTTATCATAAAGGAAGAATTTCGAGAAGACAGTACCATGTCATTACTCTTTGACTCCATTTGGTGGATTTGTCAAGCTTATTAGCGAGCCAGATGGCTGTTGAAGACTGACCCAGCTAGGGACTAAGTATTGCATGAAAGGTCGAAATAACCTACGTGCAGCCAATATACTTACGACCGCGGCTGAGGATTACATATCAAGGGGCAATCGCACACTTTCCCCCGGGGCAAAAAAGCCAGATTTCTTGGACGAAGAAGGGCCCTGACGAGATAAGAATCGATAGTCCTCGGAATACTAGTTATGCCATTGATGCCCCCTCTTCCGCTGCTCGGACAATGATGGAATCATCCCCCGGCTTATTTGGCCTTTCCTCCCGGGAAACAACCTCTTCGTCAATCAGAGGAGGCTCATGGGCGATTGCCCCGATCCTCCCCCTCGCCAGATCTCGTTTCTCGAGATATGCGATCAATCCAATAAACGGAATTGTCAATGCTCCCGTCACCAGACTGGCGATGTACCCCTTGTGAAAGTCCGGGGCGTCCGTCGCAGGAAAGAAAATCAGGGGCCACCAGGTCACAAAAGCAAAGTCGAAGGAGTTCATGAATCCCGTGGTGATCGCCCGCAGCTGCAAGTCGTGGGCGGTCACGTCTGCCATCCAGGAGTACCAGATGGCCTGCGGAGCGTAAGTGGTGCCGATCAGGTAGAAAGCCACGAAGTACCCTGCATCATTCGAGGGGTTGGAGACGAGGATAGAGGAGCCGATGACGAAGGTCAAGCCAATGGCCAGAGATACCTCCCATCGGGAGCGCAATCGGTCGGAGATGACGGCGTAGCAGATCGTGCCGAGGATGGCGGCTGCGTAGATACCGGTGGGATAGTTGTTCTGTTGAATGGTGGAGTACCCCCGGGAGGCCATCCAGTAGGGCATGACGTTGTTTGAGACTTCTTGCACGGAGAGTGAATATACTGTTTTCTGATCAGTACTTTGGGGGGGGGGGGGGGAAGACGGCTTGAGAGACGACTTACGCATGAAGATGAACGGCAACAGCCAGAATTGCCAGCTCAGCAGGACGCGCTGGAAAACAGTGACATCCCAGGAGTGCTTGCGCACCACGCCCAGTCGAGTGACGGCATGTTCTTTCTGCTCCTCGTTGAGATACCAGGCTGAACGGTGGGCGGGGAGGTCGGGGATGAAGACCCAGCCTACAATGTCCTCATCAGGATTCGTATCCATGGAGAGCGAGGTCCAGAACTCACCGAAGAGGGCCACAGGGACCGTCATCACCGAAACAATGATGAAAATCCACTTCCAGGCTGGCAGACCCCCTTGGTCCGCCAATGCGGCCAACAGACCGGCTTGGATCCAGCCCCCGGCCATGGTGCCAATATGTCCAAAGACACAGAAGACGGCGGCTCGCATCCCGAGCTCCGACTTCTGGTACCAGGACCCGAGCATGAACTGCGCTCCGACACTGGTTCCGCGTTAGTGCTCGGATCTGCATGGATGATCCATTAACGCGGAGGCATACTAGGCAATGGCGGAGAAGCCGCCTTCGATCGCATTCAGCAAGATGACCTGCCAGGCCCGCGTCATCTTGTAGGTGATCAAGGTCAAGACACTCCAGCTCACATTGGCAGTCACAAACACATATTTGGGACGGGCGATGGTCAACAGGCTAGTGCCGGGCATCTGGAAGACAGCGTAGACGACCAAATAGGCGGTGTTCATGTAATTGTACTCCTTGCCTTGGAAGCCCAGAGCCTCTTTCATGCCACTGATGTAGGCGGAGGAGTAGCTGGAGCGAGTGACTCCGAAGAGAAACCAGACCAGGGAGAAGTAGGGCAACAGGGTGGTGTCAAGTTTGGCCAGCAGCGCGCGAGTCTGAGGCTCTTCGCCCCACAGTCGGATGGCCAGCCATCTGCGCAGCGAGGCCATCGTTGGATTGATGAGTAGAATCGATGCAATATACGCGAGAAGACTGGGTTCAGTCTAGATAAAAGCCTGGAAGATCGATAGAGAGTGTAAAAGGTCATTGCAGCAGGAGATGAGGGGTTGGTTTCTTATCGCCCATGACGCCAGCTCCTTGCAGATGGTGAAATGCGCGCCTGATAAGCCTGTGTACAGTCCAGAAATCCAAAATCCTCATGAGGTAATAATTGCAGTAAATCAGCACACATGATGTAAGGTCAGAGAATTATGATGTGGGAACTGAATGGTCTGGATTGCTCTCTCCTACTCTGAAGTATCCCTAAGTGGTGGGCCTGAGGCCAAAGGTGCATAATAGTCCATTTATGCACATAGCTGGCTGCTTACTCATTGGAGGGCTCGGCTGCCCGCGGACTCCATAGTATTTGTCCCGGGTTGATTTTCGATGCCTGGCCTCCAGTTGTCGTAAAGCCGCATGGATATACATACTATGTCAAGAGTCAGTCTCTACCCGTCTTCGTGAAATAACTCCATAGAAGATATAATTCCTGAATGACTCAATAAAGACATACCTGTGCGTTACCCACAAGATTGCATAACATTAGTATTTGACATAATGGTGGTTAACCAAGTTAGGAATTTTAGCTTTTCCAGTATACTTACAATTAGGGGTTCAATACCTAGAATCTACTGATATCTGGATATTCCAGAGAATAAGGTCCGGAAATAATATCTTGATTTCATGGATGGTTTGTATGAGAAAGAACTAATGCATATGACAGTGGGATGAAGTGGCTGGGAAATGACATGACCGGAATATACCATGCTGGCATTTTTCAACTGTAACATAGCCCCGAAAGATTGTAGTGGAACCGGTTGTCTTCCAGGTGATTTCAATGACGTCCATCACAGCAAGAACAGCGAGAACAGCGTCCTGGGTCATGAAGCCACTCGAGCTCAACCGTGTCGTACCGGAACGACTGTCGAACGATCGTTTGAGTGTGGCTGGAAGGAGGCACCGACCTGGGCTCCCTTCTATCGTCTCGGAACAATCGTTGAAAGAAGGACCGATTTCGTTCTGAAGGAACGACCCACTTGAGCATGTCAGCAGTGATATCAGGGATATCGCTTCTCCAAGTATCCACCAGCCACTGGTTCCAGTCCCATGTTATCCAGCCCGACACCATCCACGGGTCACGTTTGATCTGGTCGTCGCTCCGCCACCAGCGCAATATAGGGCTGATGTACCTTCCTTCGAGCAGATCAGTGTCACGTGAGCTATAGACATCGCTGGGAGACCGATGAGTAGAGGCCAACCCGAAGTCAATAATCACAATCTCGAGCGCTGGAGTTACCATGACATTACGCGGGAAAAAGTCCTGATGTCGAAAATTACACGCATAGAACTTGGTTTCAGCTGCCAGTGCCTGACGCATAATCTCCTTCCGTTCTCTCGTCGTGAAATCCGAGGGCCGCAGATGCTCCATATCGTGGCCGCGAATGTACTCGGTCAGAATCATCCTGACTGATCGCTCTTGACCACGAGAGTCTACAATCCTGGTTGACCATGAGCCAAAGAATTCGGGGATATACTCTTGCAGGTGATTGAGCCTGAGATGACGATATGCTGCACATTCCCGCTTATACTGCTTCCTCGCGTAGTCAATGCGCTGAAACGGAGGCTGAAGGTATTTTGCATCAAACAGCTTAGCGAGAAGCTTCGGACCCATTTCAACCTCAAAGCCTGTGGTCTTGATCTCTTGAACCAGTATCAACTGCGCGGCCCATCCGTCCCCGACACGCAGCACATCCGATACCCGGAGCCGCATCGTCTTCATGCCGTAGTCATTAGGGGGCCTGTGCTGTCGCGCTGTGAACTGAAAGCCTGGAATATATGGTGGCATGGCTCTTCCCTTTCACAGTTAACGTAAACGCAATTGCGGTTCTCGGCGATGTTGCGTTGAGGGTAAAGGCCGGATCATCCGAGTACTTATAGATCTCAGTCCGTGGACTTGAAGTGTTGGAGGGTGTCAGTAATAACGGAGAGCAACGAAATCTTCCGAACGCATTGTATCGGTGCTAGGGATGATCTGCGTGTTTCCCCGGTGGATACATGGACCCATTAGGGCATACAAAGGCAGGTCATGGAAGATATTCCAGTAACGCGACACAGCAGACAATTCCTGATACGGGGCATGCATTCAGAGTTCTCCCACAAAGGAGCAGTCCATGTATTCAAGTGGGATCTTCCAGTATCCATGCAGTCAAAAACCCCCTAGCACAAGGAGTACAATGGAGTCAAACGACATGTTCCCGTCATACTATCCTGTAGCTTTTTGACTTGAGGATATTTAAAGCTCCTCACTGGACGTCTCATGGTTGTTCTCACCCCAGCAAGTTAGATATATATTATCGTTATGGCTTCCAACAAGGCTATCCAGCGGCTTCGGTCTTATGCCAATGTCCCATCGCACCAGCTTACTGCGCCGCAGGTTTCATGCTACGCAGGCAGACATGCGCACGCCGATGACTGCAGACTATGTGGACACGCCATCTTTGATCTCGATTATGCTGATCGGTGTGGCCAGTGTGGGCGATTCTTCCACCAGCATTGCATCGAGAGACTTCAGCAGTCCGAGGCAAGGAACGGAACTCCTATTGCTTTAGGCTGCCCGCAATGCGGGACACTTTGGAATAGTGCGATAGTTGACCGTTGTCGTTATCGTAAGTCTGGAGACACGTATATCTGTGAGGGTGGGGACCGGTGTGAATTCGCCACAAGAGATAGAGAGACATTGGATCTTCACTACTGCAGGAATCATGGAGACACCCGAGAATCTGAAAGCGGCAGAGTCCAGCAAGATATGCCAGGGCAAAACCCGGTCCCTTGTCCGCATTGTCTCCGAAGATTCGCCTCTCAGGAAGGCTTAAATCATCACATGGACATGGCACACCCTGAGTTTCGTACCGCTGAGCTTCGTCGTGACGATCGTAGCGAGCGTCGTGAGTATCGTAATGAGCGTCGTGAATATCGAGGTGATCGTCGCAATTGTGACAGTCTAGAGTTTCATCACCACTGTCCGCATTGCTCCCGAATATTCTACAATGAGCGTGGCCTGAAATCACACGTAAGCGACATGCACGCTGACGAAATTCGCCTTAAGCCAACTTCTCAAGCCCCGTGGCCTTGTTCATATTGTTCCCGGAGATTTACCAATCAGCGTGGCGTGAGCGCACACATTGGCAACATGCACCCTGAGGTTATTCGTCGCTGTGAGCAAGGGTCTCATCCCGGAGCAGGGTTCGCAGAGCCAACCGTGAAGAACATCTGTCCTTGGTGTTTGCAAGGGCCCGTTCCCAGGCCTGAGGACCTTACAACACACGTCGGGACTCAGCATTATTATGACACCCTGACGTGTCCGTTCTGTGCAAAGCAATGCTACAGCCGGGGGAAACTTGAGAAACATATGACGCTGGATCATGACTACTAAGGAGTAGATTTACTACTTGTGTAGAGTGACTGAGCTGGCCGAGCCACCGCATACTGACTCTGCCCTCTGCCTATTTTCCCTTTTCATACTACAATAACCAAACAGAGAAATATGATCAAGACTATCTGATTAACAACGACCAAACGAAACAGAATATGAGTGACATAGGCGTATTATAGATCATCAAGTTGACTGACAGAGGTGGCAGAGGCCTGGAGGGCAAATATCACCGCTATCAAGCATGCTACATGCTTCCTTCAGCCTCGCAGGGAATCATCCGGTAGGTCACGGCTCCCTACATAGTAAACTCCATTCACCATGCCCGCTGACTATGAATATAAAAGTCAGATACTGGGAATTAAGAATGAGATTGAGATCGAAGGCCCCATGCTCCGACAGCCCGGCCTGCTCGAGGAACTGCATCGTCTGGACATTAATTCCATTCCCACCCCAAGTCTGCTCCCTGCGACATCCTCATTCACCCTGCGAGCTCTCCGCGCTCGTGTCTGCATTCCATCAGTCTCTTCCCAACCAGCACCGCCAACAGTACCTTCTACCTGGAGTGTGACATGATGCAAGACCATATCTTGACCCTCCTGATTGCCGACAGGTCTTCTCTCCGTCTCCATGCAGTTCACAACACCCCGATAGGTAGTGAACTATGTTATTTAGTCTTTTATCCCACCCTCCCAGTCTTCTATGTCAACTACGAATACCACTCAATCATTGAAATCTTTTGCATATTAACCAAACGGTGATTTCGCATCGTTGTCCAAGGTGGATGTTCTTCCCTCGTCGCAGGAGCTGGCAGCAAGCTATCCCCCACCGGAAGGAAAGGTTCTACTGTCTGATCTGAAGGTACACCCGGGAGGGAAATCTGTCTATACTCTCATCCGTGGGTATAACCTGCTCAGTGTATTCTGAGTGGATGGAGTCACCGGGGTCCTGGAACGCATTCAGACAGTTGTATTGAAAGAGGGGGTTTCGCCGAAAGGGTGCGCGGTGAGTCCCTATGGACGGTTCGTCTACGTCGCTCTGTCAGTGAGTGGGCTGGTGCAGGTCTGGCAGCTGGAGCAGGAGACTGGAAGTTTGGTCTTTAGGGGGTCGACGGCAAATTTACCGAGACCCGGGGCGGTTCTGGTGATTGACATGTAAATTCTCTTGTTTGTGATTTTGTAGAAGTCCTTATTCTATAATCCCCCTGGACACAGAATGGGGCATTGCCAACTGTGTGCAACAACGATGAATATTACGGATGCAAGTTTCAAGAAAGTGAGAAACGAAGTCTACAACCACTTCTTCTTCTATTCGACCATCTTTGCTTGCGCATCCCACCAAAACTGGAGTCCCTCATCGTTCAACCCTCCGAGTACATCCTCGGCGGTATACGGTGCCCCGGGAACAATCGCCTTCCCAAAGTCCACCCCCCACGCTGTCAAGGTCTCCCACATATGTTCATGCGCCTCTCGCGAGCGCACGTCATCGCCACCAATCAACAGTCTCAACTGGGTTTTTCCCCGCTTGACATGTTCCAACTGCTGCTCCAACAGGATCAACGTATGATTCGCGGTGAAAAAGGCCTGACTACCGTTGTAGGTATCATAGGTCACTTCTCTGCCTTCGTCCGCCAGTTTGGTTCGGAAGCTGCCTGCCAGGGTACTCAAGGCCCCGCCAAAGACCTCCGGATACTTCAGCCCGAGGTTCCACGCCCCGTAGCCCCCGGCGGAGTGACCCTCCAACCACTGTACCGACGGGTGACGGATGGTGCGATATCGCTCGTCTGCCGCGGTGACGAGATCGCGCTGTATGATATCACCGAGTGGTCTCGTGCCATTGTAGTTGTTGATCCACCGGCCCTTGGGGAGCGCCTGCGCGGTGATGAGGGTGCAAGGGGGCATTTTGCCCAGCTCCATTTTGCGGTAGTAGAATCGGGGGGCCATTCGGCGTGACGAGAGCAGGAGAAGCCGCCGTGCAGCCAGTAGAGGACCGGATACCGTGGGCCGTCGAGATCGGTGTCCGAGTAGCCCGGAGGCAAGAGGACCAGGTAACTGCCTTCGAGCTCCGGGGCCACGAGTCGGTTGGGGATAGAGACCGTATTGAATCTCCGAGGGCAATGCCCAAACATCGGTGTCAATCCACATGTGGTTGTGGACATCCAGCAGTGAAGCCGGGGGGTGCCAGCGGCCCTTGTAGGGGGGAATAGGGGGGTAGACTTCCGGGGAAGCATCGGTAGTTTTGACCGTCATTATAATGCAGGATTTGGAAAATCTGACCTGAGGAAAAATGAGCTTTGGGTTGTGGATGTGATGAATGTTGTCCCTTGGTGGTTGAGAGTATGCTATGATTGAGGCGTTATAAGGTCGGGATCTCACTGCCGATGAGGAAGCGTAGGCGATGCTCGCCTGGCAATGCCAGGGCAATCATCCCCATTACCCTCGGCACGGCGGACATCCTCGCGGCATAGCACAATGAGATTTTGGTCCTCATGAAATGGCGGCATATCCCAACTGTTGCATTATCTGAGTCCAGGGCAACGGCTCGGACCTTGTTCTCTCTGTAAGTCCTCTTTGTGTGGCTTGACTGATCGAGTCAACCATGCCGTGCTCTTGCGGTGTGCGCACTGCTCTAAATACCCCCACAAAAACTGCGTTAAGGAGCTGCTGCAGAAACACACTCCGATAATATGGAGCTATCCGGGGTGCAGTTGTCCCTGGAACATTGGCAAGGTGCGTGCAAATCCCGCAGGCCGGTCCTAATATAAAGGCAAGGATGATGGGTTCTGGGGCTGTCCGGAGGGAATAGATGGGGCTGAGGCTGGTGAGCCCCGGTGCAATTTCCGGGCCAATACCAGACCTGGCTGTTTTGAGCATTAGCGCCCTGTTCACGACGGGGTTCATGCTGTCTATGGGCCTCTCCACCTCTGTCCTGTATGTCGCAATGTTCCGTAGGCATTCAAAGGAAAGTAATATGGGCAGATAATATAAACCAATCGAGTACATTTAACGGATATACCAAGCGTGGTCCGATGGTAAGGTAGCCTCTCTGCTACTGCTGGCTGGACAGAGAGGCCCATACAACAGCATTTCATCCGGACGGCTCCTGCATAAATATCATCTTTAGAGGTAGCGAACGTCATGAAAGCTCTGTTATGAGGTATAATATCCTTAGTCTTGAAGAGGGTAGCGGTCCACGTGACCAGCAGGGCAAGTGCTCTACAATGCAAACCAGGTAAACTCGCGGGCACGTAGTTAATTTGCATTTCAAACAAAGAGAATATAATGTAATGAGGGGGGCTGACTCGCACGAATTGTGTTGAAATAACATCTAACTGTATATTTTTTTCCTAGAACCTGACGGGTACATACGACCACAGGGTGTGGAAAATAGGGCTTCCCGTCCGCTCAGCCGTCCTCAAGCCACACGCCGGGAGGTTAGTAGTTGGGTGGGTGACCACCAGCGAATCCCTTCTGTTGTATGTTTTTGTCTTTTTCCTCTCTACTTTCTCTCCTCTTCATCTCATTTCTCACCTATCCCGGTCTGTCAACTATAACTTAGTTACACCGGATGGATAAGTTCCGATTACCATTCTTTTATCCTGGCTGTATAACTTACACTCCACTCTACCAGTCTTACGTGGGAAAACCCTGTGCGCCAACCAACTCGCAATAGAGTTTGGGTGAAAGCTGGGACGATGATGTGAACCCCCCATGACGCATCACTACCTACTTAGTACAAGATGACGAATTCTTTCTTCTTCGGACCTGAAAACCTCCCATCCCTGATGGGCTCTCTATGGACACACCCAAGGAGGACAGGAGTGGATAAAAAGTTCACGGGCAGGGATCCAGCACAAACAAGCACCCGAGAAAGACCATGCCTCAACTCTATGAAACACGGGACTCAATCCACGACATCTGGGGGCCTCGCACTCCCTACAAGCATGAATGGCCCGTCCGATGCGATGAACACTTGATTGACACCCCGGAGAAGTGGGTGCAGAGTGCTTGTGTCTTGTGTAGGTAAGAGTACATCCTCCCTTGCAGTATGCTTCAGAATGCTAATGCTAATGGTCGCGACAGTAATGGTTGCGGGATGGATGTCGGAGTCAAAGATGGGAAGATAGTCGGGGTCCGCGGTCGCGTCAGTGACCGCGTGAACAAGGGCAGGCTCGGTCCTAAGGGACTGCATGGGTAGGAGAGATTTTCGTCCCCCCCATCATCTCATCAAAGCATGCAGGACTGACCCGGTCGACATCAGGTGGACCTCGATTGATCATCCCGATCGGCTGCAATGGCCGCAGATCCGACGCAATGGCAAGCTCGAACGGACCACCTGGGAGGAGGCGATGGAGTTGATTGTGCAGCGGACGCAGGAGATCCGGTCACGGCTGACGAATCATGGCATTGGGTTCTATACCTCTGGCCAGTTGTTTCTGGAGGAGTATTATGTGTTGGCGATGGTGGGGAAGGCGGGGTTGCATACTTTGCATATGTAGGTTTTATATTATTGATTCTACAGTCGGAGGGAGAGGTTTCTGATACACTGGGTTCCTTTGGGGCTGACTCTGCGTCCACAGGGATGGCAATACCCGGTTATGTACGGCCACCGCAGCTGCTTCTATGCGGGAGTCATTCGGATCGGACGGTCAGCCGGGTTCGTACTCCGACGTCGATTATACACACTGCCTGTTTCTGGTGGGACATAATGTCGCCCATACCCAGACTGTGCTCTGGTCGCGTATCCTCGATCGACTAGAGGGTCCAGACCCGCCAAAGGTGATCGTGGTGGATCCGCGACAGTCAGAGACAGCAAAACGGGCCACAGTCCACCTCGCTCCAAAGGTCGGGACTAACCTCGCCCTCCTCAACGGCATTCAGCACCTCCTCTTCAAGAACGGCTGGATCAATACGGACTACGTCGGAAAGCATGTCATTGGCTTGGAGGAGCTGCAGAAGACGGTGGAGAAGTACCACCCAGAGTACGTGGAAAGCATCACCGGAGTACCAACGTGCCAGTTAGAGGAGGCGGCTCGCATCATCGGCACGACAGAAACCCTCCTGTCGACCGCACTGCAAGGCGTCTACCAATCCAACCAGGCTACCGCGAGCGCATGCCAAATCAACAACATCAATCTCCTGCGCGGGCTGATTGGCAAACCCGGCTCCGGCATCCTGCAGATGAATGGGCAGCCGACCGCCCAGAACAATCGCGAGACGGGCTGCGATGGGGAGTTTCCGGGGTTCCGCAATCACCAGAACGAGGCTCATATGCAGGAAATTGCGGATTACTGGAATATCCCCTACATCCAAATGCCGCATTGGACGTTACCCACCCACATCGAGAATATGCTGAAGTATATTGAAGACGGCAGCATCGAGATGCTGTGGGTCTCGGGCACGAACCCGATGGTCAGCCTGCCACATTTGCCCAAAGTGCGGAGGCTATTGACTCGCCCAGGCCTGTTCTTGGTGTGTCAAGACATTTTTCCCACCGAGACGACGGCGGTGGCCGATCTGGTCCTCCCAGCCGCACAGTGGTCGGAAAAGACGGGGTGTTTCACCAACGCGGATCGGACGATGCACCTGGCGCAGAAGGCCGTCGAGCCCCCGGGCGAAGCGCGGTCGGATTTGGAAATTTTTCTCGATTTCGCCCGGCGCATGGAATTCAAGGATAAGGAGGGCAATCCGCTGTGTCCGTTCACCGAGTCCGAAGAGGTGTTCGAGGCATGGAAGAGGATGTCGTTCGATCGGCCGTGCGACTGCAGTGCTTTATCCTACGCGAAGCTGCGAGGGGGTTCGGGGATCACCTGGCCCTGTACCGCGGACTACCCGATGGGACGAGAGCGGCTGTTCGATGACGGCAAGTTCTTCACCGATGAGGACTACTGTGAGAGCTATGGACATGACCTGGAAACTGGCGCGCCTCTTACTAAGGCCCAGTACACAGCGATGGCACCGGCCGGACGCGCGATTCTGAAGTCTGCCCACTTTCACCCCTCGCTGGAAGAGCCAGACTTCGAATTCCCCCTGCGCCTAGCGACGGGTAGAAATGTGTATCAATTCCATACGAGAACTAAGACAGGCCGCAATCGGCGCCTACGGCAAGCCTATTCGGAGCCCTCCGTGCAAGTTTCGTCTGCTGATGCCCGGGCGCTTCACCTGAGTGAGGGGGAGATGGTGGAGGTCATATCGCGCCGGGGCCGGGTTCATTTACCGGTTGCGATCGGGGATATTGAAGACGGTCATGTGTTTATCACGTTTCACTTTGGGGATCTGGATAGTGATGGACGTGCTCGTGCGGCTAATGAGCTGACCATAGGTAGGTAGGATTGACTCCTTTGCGCGTACAGTCGCTTGGTTATTAATGATAATCCGCGTAGAGCAGTGGGATCCCATTTCCAAACAACCCATGTTCAAGTCCGGTGCGGTCAGGATTGAAAAATGTGTGCAGAAAGAAGGGGAAGAGGGTATCTTCGCAAAGGAAGCACTTACGGCCACAAAGGCAAAGAAGGAAGAGAGCAGCCGCCGCAAAGGAAGCCGCAAAGACGAAGGCGAGCGCAAGCGTCGGTTGGAGCTGTGGCTCGGCGCGACGGAGGAAGCTGTCATCAAGTTAATGGAGCTGTATGAACATCTTGTACCCCGGCTGGTGCATGACTTCGAAGTTCAAGCGGGCCTGCAAATCATGAAGCGGCTCACACAGGATATGCTTGAGCGATTACAGCCAGAAGTCAATAAATACTACGAAAGCCGACAATATGGACGAGCAACAGCCCAACGCCTGGTAGACGCGATGTTCCCTACGACTGAGGCTAGCGATCCGTACGAGGCACTTGCAGCTCTTCAGTCATTAAAGTTATTCCTCACCTACATTGAGGATCATTTGACCGCACTGCTCCCCGCCAGTCAAGCTCTATGGGATACAGATCTTGTCGCGGCTGTCACGGATAGTCTGAGCAATATTCAGCGACAGAAGGCGTGGATAGCGCAGCAGATCAAGGTTAAAAGCCCACAAACATTGCTGGTCCCCATGGTGCTTCCCGAGGAGTTGCATCAACCAGACTCGAGTCTAGCTGGAACCCTGCGGTGTTGAACCGTGGAGACTCAGTTTCCCTTTCGTAATGCGCGTAGTCAGAGTTGTTAGACTTAATCAACGTCAACGTTATGATGTCACGTACTGTGACGTCAGAAGATTTCGCCACCAAGTATATCTCGAGCTCTTTTTCATTCTAGGGACTGTCCAATTGCATGGCATAACAAAAATGGAACCGCTGAAGGGCTTGCTCCTCGCGGGTGGGAGGTCATCGCGAATGGGAACTCGGAAAGAGCTGCTGTCTTTGAGCGGAGATATACCTATGTACCGACAGTTGATCGAGGTGCTTCATGAGGCAATACCTGAAACAGATACAATCTATCTCTCCATGCGGAATAAAACTGCCAGTGAGGCGCTCCCGGAACTCGCAGCCTCCCCACTAGATCGTTTCGACGTGAAAATCAACCCGAGCACGATCACGATCCAGCTTATCTACGATAAAAAAGGCGAAAGAATAGGGGAACAAGATATAGGTAGCGGCTGGGCTGTTGGCCGCTCATACGCACGATCCAGACGCTACCTGGTTGGTGGTCGCATGCGACTATCCGTTTCTGACAGCGGATGCACTGAGAGAATTGCGCCAACATTTAGGGAAAGCACCGGTTATATGCTTTGAGAACGAGGAAGGCTGGTGCGAGCCTCTATTAGCTATCTGGACACCTCAGGCTCTGCGTCTCCTGGCGAACAACGTTCAAAAGGGCATTCTGGGTCCCAAATCCGTCATCAAGGCTGTGAATGCCCATGTGGTTCGAACTTCCCATGAACAGTGGCTGTTTAATACCAATAACCAAAAAGAATGGCAACAGGCATTAGCTCTCAGAACAGTTCAACAGCATGCGCAAGGTGCCATGACGGGTCATCAGTGACTGGCCAAGATACTGACCGTGTCACCCTGGTAAACGTCCGATTGTCCGGCTGGAACATGAATCCAGCAATTTGCCTCAAGAAATGGCTTGACCTTCCAGGAACTGTGTTCCAGTGGGGTTACTTCTAAGTGATCAGCGATGCGACGCTGAGTCACACCAGGGCGGAACACATCCAGATCCTTGGGCACTTTCAACAGCAGTTGCGCCAACGCACGGTCCGGAGGCTTGGAGTCCCCAAACTGGCAGATTGTTGCCTCTAGTACTGGTTCGGGTGACTGCTTCTGCAGATGTTTCAGATAGGGTGCAACCAGAAACTGCAAACAAGCTGCACTGGCCACTGGGTTCCCTGGAAGTCCGAAGAACGGCACCTCATATCTATCACCCCTGACGCCACGCTCCACGGCTTTGCGAGCTGAGATGGGGATTTTGGCAAAGAGAACCGGGTGGCCGGGGCGAATAGCTATCTTGTGGAAGACTTGACGAACGTGGAGATTCTGTAAAGCAGATGGAACGAAGTCATATTTGCCCGCGGATACTGCTCCGGAACTAATCAGAACATCGTACCGGTTCGTATTCGAAGCTGCGCGGATCCCATGCGTGATGGCGTCGCTATTGTCTTCCAGAGTGCCCAGAAAGTCCACTTCGGATCCCTGCGCCTGAAGGCTAGCACTGATATACGGGCCATTGGCATCTGCAATGTGATGTTGGCCACGCCGACAGACCCTCTCCACCTCATTTCCTGTCGAGAAAACGCCCACAACAGTTTTTCGTGTCACATGAACTTCCATGATACCCACTGATGCGAGCGCCATGATGTGCGAGGGCTGAATCACCTGCCCTGCAGAAATAATAATATCACCTGGGGAGAAGTCGCCACCGGCTAGCCGTCTGTTTTGTTGGAAGGTGGCTGGTTTTCTGATTCCGATACATGGGTATCCTGAAACACTAATCGCAGTGACGTCCTCGAGGCGTACACAACAATCGAATTGTCGATCCCCGGCGTTTTGGGGAAAGGGAGCACCTGTCATGATTTCGACGCAGGGGGGAATGTCCGAAACAGTTCCATTGTCAATACGAAGTGGCTCGTCTCCCGCTGCTATAGTGCCACAGACTCGGAAGATGATTGGGGTTTCTGGGGTCGCCGATTGGGTTGCCGCCGAGTTGAGTGCGTAGCCATCCATAGCGGAGGTGTCATATTTGGGCGTTGCCTCATGGCATCGATAGGTTACCTGAGAGATCCGGCTCACAGCTTTATCTATTGAGAGCCTCTCAAACCCTGACCGGAATGCGATCGCATCCTGTTCGGCCTCACAGCGAATTCGCTCCAGTGCATCCAGATATGAGAGAGGCATTAAAGATTTGGGAACTTCTACAAAAGCATTGACAAACTGCAAGATTTGTACGACATTTGTTGTATTATATGGGCGAATACTACATTCGGTCACAATGACGTGCAAATAAGGTTCCATAGATTCCACTCTCAGACACTTATATGACCGGGTTCTGTGTCTGATTGTCTACTTATGATCTGACTTGGGACATTTTCATAATACAATGCCACAAGGTTTAGGAATAAGATAAGATAGAGAGAGCTGATGCTTTTCTCCCTGCCTGGCATTGCTGTGATAAGCCTCATCCCTGAGCCTGTGTTGAAACAAAACGCATAAATCCTTACTACCTATATAACCTCTACAAAGATTTAAAACCATACACCAAATTCATACTTAGGTTTCTGATCTTCCGTCTACTGCTAATCCTATTATTGCTTTTGAAACTATCTCTTGTTTTATAGTCTACCAACAGACCTGTAAATAACCGTGGTCGTATGTCGTTGATTAAGATCGTGTTGATTAATTTATTGATGTCTAAGTCTTAGTAATCACCAGTGGAGAAGAATCCCGCCCAGGGCGGGCTGTCAAGGGCTAAATAGCTTGTGTAGCAAAAGTAATAAGTTACTAATCCAAAGTCAAATTACTTAGAGAACTATCTAAAATAATTAGGTCTTAATCTAATATTTATATTATATAGAGAAGTCTATAAAGTACGATTCTTAGAAAGTTTATTATAGTAACTAGTAAACTCTATTTTACTAGTTAGTAAGTAAAGATCTACTTTTAATAAAAAAGGCTTACTGGCTTCAGCCTTTTACACTATATCCACTACAACTAAGGGCCCTGACCCTGCTCAGGATACTGGGACTATTGATAGGCCCGCTGTGTGATAGGATCTACTTGTCAGGGTAGAAGGCCTGTCGACTAGGTAAGGAATCAACCACTAAACACTATGGATTCGTCTAGTAATGACAAAGGTAGCCTATATCCATGAAATAGACTGATCCTTGAGGATCAGTAGCTTCCTGCAGAGGAATCAGCACCTTATAGGTATCGGGGAGGTATAGGTTTGCTATTAATGACCTCACGACTCCCATAACCACTATAGTACGTTATCCTGATAACCTTACTTATAATAGTAGTTGTTCTATTATAAATAGCACCCTCTTTCACAAGAATAAGCCACCTAGCTCAGTTGTTGGGGATAACCTTATATTTCCTAATTAGGAAAGGTAGAGGCTCGGCCACAACAGGTAGGAAGCTCACAGGGTAGGTAATATTAATAGAGTTATATATATTTTAGTATAGATTCACCAGTGCACAGTCACATTCGCGTGGGTGGATCTATTAGGAGGAAGTATAAATAAGAGTCTATTATATTACTCTTATTTTTTTTTCTCTTCCTCATCCTCTCTACTCTGTATATTTATTTATTTATTATATTAAGGTTTCTAGCGTCTTATTATATCTATTATATACTCTATTCTATAGTATTTTATCTCTTTTATATAAGACTTATAGTATACTAGATAGAGCTACTAATATGTGTCGTTGCTGTTATACTTCAGTAATAACTTAGTTATATCTAATATATAATACAGTAATTAGACTCTGTTAATTATAGTATATATATTGTCTCCGGATCTTCTTAAAGCACTTCGAATCTGAAAATATAGATAAACAGGAGGTCTTTACAATTGACTATATCTTAGATAAGGAGGAATCCATCCTATACTAATAGTATTATAACTACTGAGGCGGCTGTGAAGTAGTAGGGATTTATAAACCTTCTTTAATATACTTTAGCTAATATACTTAAATACCCGTGGGTACACTAGGCAACGTGGCTGAACTAATAAAGCTTTTAGACTAGTATTATAGTTACTTCTTTTCTAAAGCCGAAGATAAGAAGAGCAAAGCTTCTATTAACTTTAATAGAGAAATTCTTTATACTATAAATAAGTATATAGTACACCTTGAAAAGATCTTTGTATAAATAATAGTAATATACTATTAATACCATAGACTATTAGCAGTATAGAAAATGGTTTATAAAGATAGACTTGTTTAGTAATTAATATACTAATACTTTACTAGTAGCATATAGCTAACTATAAAGTATTTCTGGTCTGTTAATATAAAATTACTAGGGTAGATATTAAGAGGCTTTGTCTTATATCTAGGGATCCTAGTTATATCCTTTAGGTCTCAGCCAAACAGTTGTTCTGCACTGGTATCTCGGATATGATTAGACTCCAGTTTGAAGAGGAGTAGCTAGATGATATTCTTATCTAGATATTTAAGGATTTTCTAGTTACCTTAGGTAAGTTGTGAGGCTGACTTGTATTAGTTTTATAGTAGAGAAGATACTAAATTATAATATTATAAGAGTTTTAGTATATATAAATATAGCCTATCACCTTATAACAGTATAATTAATATATCTATAAGTATACTGGAGTATATAATAAAATACTATAAGATATTATACAACTAAGTATATCTATAAGATATATATTTAATACTCCTAATTACTCAGTAGTACTTTATTAGGGTTTAGTATACTTTTACTTCTTCTAGTGCTTTCTTTGGTAATCTCTAATATATTCTTGTATATTTATTATGTTTTTACTAGGGATCTATTAGTTGTATTTGCTTAGCCATTCCTTCTATTTAATTAGATAATAGTCTTAGCTATTATAGTATTAGTAATCTTTAACTTCTTTAACTTCCTATTCGTCTTTATTATCCAACTCTGGTATTGGGAGTGATTCTTTATAGTTTCTTTCTATATTCCACAGCTCCAGCAGGGAAATATAGAATATATTATGAATTTGTCTATATTCCTCAGGTAGATATAAGTGATATACTTAGGTTCTAATATATTTAAAAATCTAAAAAGATTATATAAACTTTAGGACTAGCTTTCTTAATTCTTTAAGTTATAGGTTCCGGGTTGATAGCTTAACTAGATCCCTTTTCTTAAAGTAGAATAGTTTTCTATACTTATTATAGTATTTCTTTTGCTTTTTTATAGCTATTTACTATATCTTTTATAGTTATTCTCTTACTTCTTAAAGTCTATTAATTCTATCTTATACTACTAGAATCTTCTTCTATTGTGAATTGCCCTTGATTTAGATATAAAAGTCAGGGGAATAGCTGTATAAAATATAATTAGATAATTACCTGGTAGTTGTATTATTTATATTATTATAAGTAGATTAAGTAGTTTATAGCATCACAGGCTAATTTACTTTTGTTGGCCGTCCCTAAGGGGTCGCTAATAGCGAGGATCATTCATGGGTCAAAGATCGTTGTTCATTGCTATCTACCTAGTCGCGCTGAGATATGGGGGCGACCAGCGAGGACGGGAAGTCGCCTAATTGGGAAATGGCGACACTCCCCCCCTCCGGACAGATGAGCCTAAGAAAAAGAAAAAGAAAAAGTAAAGCAAAAGGCGTTAAACCGCTGCTGTGGAAAACGCAAGACCAATAATAATAAAGATGGGCACAGTGTTAATAGTAAAGATTAAAGGGAAACAGGAATACAGCAGAATTAATTTGAGATCTTGTTCAAATATCAGCGAAGATATTCCGGTAATAGCTATTTATGGAGTGGTTTGTTGGTAAAAGTCATGTTATAGCAGCTGAATATCCATATCTCTGTAGTACTAAGGAAGGCACAGGCCTTATCTGTTAAGATTATTGAAATTAGGATTTTCTTACTAGCAAGATATCTCTCCAATACTATGGCCGGTGGGCCCTAAGTATGGCCCTTAGTGAGTAGATTATTGCGCCTATATCTATACTGAAGTAGACTGTTTACTGTATCCACTATTTTGATGTTGTATATAGTTAGTCTATATATTACTATAAATGACTTCTTGGTCACTGTAAGGGTCGGTATCTTCTATATTAGATAATAGTCTTAGATCTATTTAAACAAGAGTTTAGGATCAAGTTCCTTATTAGTAAAGTTTATCTTTGTATTATTACTATTATTATTGAAGGAGAGATGGATAAATTCATCTAAGTCAGAATTATTATCTTATACAGATTCGCGGGTGATAACTTGCTTAAGTTTAGTGAGATGCTTCTCTAGTACTTCGAGATGAGTAGGATAGATATATACCCCAGGAACTGTGTAGTACTTTATCTTGATCTTCTTAATAGATTTATTTATCTAATTGTGTAACATAGTCTTTGTTAGTACTAGTGAAAGCCCTATTTACCAGATATTAAGATTTTATACTAAGACAATTATTTTTATTTTATTAATCTGATCTTCTAGAAGATTAAGGATTACTTTAAGAACTTCTTCTTCCTAATTAATAGTTAATACTTACTATTATAAGACTGTCTTAGTAAATATCTATAGTATCTATTTAAAGTTATTATAGAATTATTTTCTAATCTCTAGCAACTTTCTATTAATATCCATCTCTGTATTGAATACAGGAAGCTGTTAGTATTTATTCAGTTTATAGATAGTTATATTCATGCCACTGTGATTAACCACGTGATAGAGGTTTGCCCAAATCTGTTCTTGTATATAGATATAGATAATAGAATTATTATACACCATGGTGTTTTGATATAAGTTGTGTCGGCCCTGAATCCATCCCACCAAGAATCAGAGAAGCTTAGGTTCTTTGAACACTGGGGCTTCTTCTAGGGGCAGGAAGTTGTTAGGAAGTTCGTTTATAGATATTATACTGTTGATATTAATAAAATATAGTAGTAATATTCCTTTGTTAATGTCGAAATCACAGTAGTTAGAGTTAATACTAGGGATAAGCTTCTTAGCCTTATTATTACTTTCTCTATCTTTATTATTAATCTTAGTCTTATCTACCTTAGCTCTTTTTACTCTGGGACCTATCTTATCAGTTTAGGGTGACTGAGGAATCAGAGTAAGGGGTATTTTATCTTCCAAAGTATAGTATTATACCGATTCAAAGTCTGAACCGGAATTGCTAATAATCTAGGGGCATAAGCAAGATAGTACTTAGTGATCCA